GGTATCAAAGTATCATTTTCATGTGATGCTAGGTATTTATATGACACAATTGGAAAGAATATTTAATTCTTGCCACTAAACTATAAGACCTTAGGTGGTCTTTCTAGTCAACTTTTGTTTTGTTTTTTTATTCTTTAATGGCCTTGTACCCAATTTTTTTATTTTTTGAATGGATTTCTATGGCAGCAATGCATTGATTGGATGGGTTTGGCTTCTGTGAGACTCTTAAAGAAGCACAAGTTGTACGAATGCTAGGTCAGTCTCTATCTCTATATCTCATTGCCTGTGCTTCAAGGAAAGTTAGCCAACCTAGCTAGGTGGGCCTAAACCCTTAGCCGAGGGGCCGTCCACTTTACCGTGATGTGGCGCACCGGTCTCAGTGCCATGCAGACACAATTTATAGCTTCGGCTCGATCACAACATGGACCATTTTCTTCCACCATGGAAAAAGTGTCCCTTTGAGACCCATCTAGGTCTATCAGCAATAACCCTTTTAATTACATTGCGTATTAGTGCAAAAAAAATGTGAGATTATTAAATTAAATTTTATCATAATTAAAATTTCACTTAACCGTTTGATATTATTTAAAAAAAATTAATGTTTGTTGTCATGTGTAACATATGTGAAAATCCTGATATTACCTTAAGACGATGCTAGTGGGGGTGGATGGAGCTAGGAGTGCCGAACATACATGAAAACATTGATACCACCTTAAGACGATGTTAGTGGGGGCAAACAGAGCTATGGGTGCCAAACGAGGAATTTTGATACCGACTCGATCCTCCAATGTTAAATCGTTGACTTTTTTTATCTTTCAACACTGATCAGTCATCACTAGTCATATACATAGTCTTACAAATTTGTCAAGAGATTGTGTTTTCAATAAGCACTAGTTTAAATCTGTGTAAAACTCGTTGTTTTTGTATTAATAGCTCTTGAAAACTATAAAAACTTATAAAATATAATTTCACTTTAAAAACTCCTAACTAGGTTTATGTTTAAAATTTAAGAATACTGAAGTCTGATCAATATCTACGTTAAAGACAAAAGTTATTCTTTCATTACCTAACTTGAACATGGGTCAAACATTAATCAATTCAAATTAAAATAATTGATCAAAATCGATTGAATTTAATTAATTCAGATGGATTTATCTTATTTTAAAATTAATCGGTTACAAGAGAAGATCTATTTGATTATTTATCGATTTTTTATATTAAAAATTTACAATCAAACTGATCAAATCAATCAAAATAAACCAGTTTTAATTATTTTTATTATAATTTAGTCTATTGTGATTATTTTTAAAAAAAAATTAATTAATTTGATTTTAAAAATTTTAAACTGTAGCAACCGACCAATTATATAGTCTCTCCTATTAAATTTGGAAAGTGTTCACATTTATAATAAATAAAATAAATAAATTATTGGTAGTCAAAAGAGCTGTCAAAGAAAGAAAAAAAAAGAAAAGAAAAACAGAACACTTATCTTTGTACGGCCATAAAAGAAATTAATGCGGCTATATAAAGCGCAGGGTTTTGGGTGAAGCAACAATAGTTTGTGGAGTGAACTATTTTACTACCGTAACACTAAAGCTAAGATCACCACCTTCTGCTTTGCTGCCCTCTTTCTTCTTCTCCATTCCATTAAATGGAAACCAAAGGTTACACCCAAGATGGAACAGTCGACCTTCGTGGCCGCCCTGTCCTTGCCTCTAAGACTGGAAGATGGAAAGCTTGCGCCTTCCTTGTTGGTAAGAACCTGACACACTGTTTTTTCTTTGTCTCTCAATTCTTGTCTTGAAATGCAAAGCAGACAGTTGGAAAGATTTTCAGGAGTTTTTCTTCTGATGTCCCAGATATGTAAATGAAGACTCAATCTTTGTGCGTTTTTCTTAACAGGGTATGAGGCATTTGAAAGGATGGCTTTCTATGGAATAGCTTCAAACCTGGTAAACTACCTGACCACCCAACTTCATGAAGATACAGTTGCATCTGTCAGGAATGTGAATAGCTGGTCAGGTTCGGTCTGGATTACACCCATCCTTGGAGCATACATAGCAGATACTTACCTGGGTCGATTCTGGACTTTCACTGTGTCATCCCTCATCTATGTCATGGTAAAACTCAACAAATTCTCCGAACTCATTTATTTATTTTCAATATTTTTGGTGATTTTCAAAACTGTCTGATCTGAAAGGCAATTTATCAGTACCATAACTTCCAAATTTTGATGAGGTTTATATTCACTATGTTCATCTATCAAGAAGGTCACACCATTTGTTTGGACCATAGTCCTAGATACCGACAATCAGGAGGCCAATTAGGTTCATTATTTTTGCTCTAGTGGGGGTCCAGTGATGAATAGTAAAGCTTTGATTCATTGGGATTAACATAGCTTGGATGTTAGCTCGTACTTTGTTCTCCACAAAGACCATAGCTCCGATTTTCGTTAGACCCACACAGAAGTTGCCATCCCTGTCTCATTTGGCACTTAATATGGGGAAACTATTCTGTTATAGTGTTTAAATTTATGGAAAATGATTTGCAACAAAAATGAAAAAGACAGGTAATTTGTATCCAATGATGAAAACAGAAAAATAATTCAATATTCTATTGCTAATGGGAAAGAAAAGAAGAGAGATTTCTTGTCATTGATGATAAGAGAGAGAGAGAGACAGACACAGAGACACAGAATTGTTTGATACTTCAGATAACTTTGTTGTTAGTGCTTAATTTGACTTGCACCTGCGCATTAAACAATGACTGGTTCATAATTTTCTTGCTTAATACCATACATTTTTTTTTTTTTGTGTGTGAACACGAGTTTTTGGCCCTGGAAATTCTAGATATGTTTTGATTAATATATATATATATATATATAAATGATGATGTAATGTGATGAACAGGGAATGATAATGCTCACTACAGCAGTTTCACTGAAATCTTTGAAGCCAACTTGCAGAGATGGAGTCTGCAACAAGGCCTCTACTTTACAGATAGCATTTTTCTATACATCTCTCTACACCATAGCCATAGGGGCAGGGGGAACGAAACCTAACATATCAACCTTTGGAGCAGACCAGTTTGATGACTTTAACCCCCATGAGAAGGAGCTCAAGGTCTCATTCTTCAATTGGTGGATGTTTAGCTCCTTCTTGGGTGCCTTGGTTGCTACCCTTGGCCTTGTCTACATTCAAGAAAACTTGGGATGGGGCCTAGGCTATATGATCCCTACAGCTGGCCTCCTCTTCTCCCTGTTTGTATTCTATCTTGGAGCCCCAATTTACAGACACAAAGTGAGGAAGACTAAAAGCCCTGCCAGGGACCTGATTCAAGTCCCCATTACCGCCTTCAAAAATCGCAGACTCCAGCTCCCTGACAACCCATCAGAACTCCATGAGCATGAGCCTCAACATTACATCAACAGTGGAAAACGGCAGGTCCATTACACTCCAATTTTCAGGTGACTCTTCCTTTTTCTTTTGAAATATCTGTGTCCGACACATATCTGACAGACATTTGACTTCCGAATTGAAGTAACATAGTAATATTACTTACAATAGACAAACTAAAGCATTAAAATTTTCCACTATTACAAGATAATATAAACTTATAAAAGTATGTGTAGATGCAAAGAACAAGTTGAAATGAGAATAAACAGCACTGTCCCATTTCCTACAATCATTGTGGCCTGGAATCTTTGAAGAGCCAGGTCAATTAGAGTTCGTACAAAATTCCAAAGTGCTTTAAATCCTTGGGTTGCCAGAACAGGCGCAAGGGGGACCTTCAAATTCATGCGCATAACTGGGAAATCTCCTGTGCCAAAGGCAAATGTGGGGCTTTTATGGGGGAAAACTCGATAGCCGTTGGCTCAATAAATTCCTTCCATGTGAAACTGTTTCATCAGTACTCCTACTAGATACCCTTCTCTTTGATCAACGGTCATAATCTCCATGGGGCCAAGTTGTTTCTTGATGGATGAGGTGTTACAGTGAAATGGTGCAGCCCAAGTGCCCCCACCATTATGTTAATCAAATTCAGACAAATGATACGTGAAACACGTTTGGTGGAATCCTCGATTGCATAGCAATAAGTTTTCATTTCAAGGTCAACATCGAATTAGAATCTTGAATATGATTAGGATCCACCATCTTAACAATTATTATGATGATAAGTACTACTAATAAATGACATAGTGCTTATAATTATAAAATCATCTTATTTTAATCTTATGTATCATTTTGTGATTCGTTTTTTCTTATACAAAAATGTTAATCAATATTTATAACCACTCGGTTAATGGAACTTTTTTAATAATACGCATATACACATCCGTGTTCACAGATGCTTGGACAAGGCTGCAGTGAAAGATGGAAACTCATCAGGTAGGCCACCCTGTACGGTAACTCAAGTGGAAGGAACTAAGCTTGTACTTGGGATGCTCTTAATATGGCTAGTGACCTTGATTCCTAGCACCATATGGGCACAAATAAACACATTGTTTGTGAAACAAGGTACCACCTTGGATAGAAACTTGGGTTCAAGCTTCCAAATCCCTGCAGCCTCACTCGGGAGCTTCGTGACTCTCTCCATGCTTGTCTCTGTGCCGATGTACGACCGCTATTTCGTGCCATTCATGCGTAGGAAAACAAAAAACCCGAGGGGAATCACCCTCCTGCAGAGACTTGGCACTGGGTTTGTTATCCAAGTCATAGCTATTGCCATTGCTTATGCGGTGGAGGTCCGGAGAATGCATGTCATAAGACTGCATCAGATCGTAGGTCCTAAACAAATTGTCCCCATGAACATATTCTGGCTGCTGCCTCAGTATGTCTTGTTGGGGGTAGCAGATGTGTTCAATGCTATAGGACTGCTGGAATTTTTCTACGACCAGTCACCGGAAGAAATGCAAAGCCTAGGGACAACATTCTTCACCAGTGGGATTGGGGTGGGGAACTTCCTCAACAGCTTTTTAGTAACAATGGTGGATAAAATCACAGGGAGGGGAGAGAACAAGAGCTGGATTGGAGACAACTTGAATGACTCTCACTTAGATTACTACTACGGATTCCTTCTGGTCATATCTACTCTTAACTTGGGGGCTTTCCTTTGGGCATCAAGCAAGTATGTCTACAAAAGGGAAACCAAAGAAGTGAATGAGGGTTGTATTGAAATCGAGAACAAAACCTTGGAGATTTCTCCACTAGGATTGCAAGTATGAACAAAAAGGCAAAAACAAATGGTAAGTGGTATAAAAAGTACTATCATGATATAGCCTTTGTATAATATGTGCAGCAATTAACGGTTTTAATTTCCATATTAATGAAGCAAGTGTAATTCCCTCTGGTTAACACCTAGCAGGACTACTTGTGCATGAATAAATTAGCATAACTTTGATCCCAAAGATGGAGTTATGGAACATTGATCATCAGTCATATGATTCTGTCTGTCCTAACAATATTTGTCTAATAAGATATATTAACTAAACTAAATTTTCAGAATCAAAAATCAATTGCAAAAATACGTGATGGCATTTTAATTTAATCTATAGAGTTTAAAAGGTCTTTCATGAATGCATTAAATAACAATCTTTTTCTATAATATACTTTTTCCGTTTCAAATTGGATACCTAATTTTATGAATTTTACTCTTGTAATGATGTAAGAGTAAGAAAATCCGGTCGAAAATTAGCATTTCAATGAATAAGAATATTGAAAGGTACTTCCCATTCCTAGCAGAAGACTTGATGACAGAAGCTGTTAAATCTCCTATTGCTTTGCTTGGAGGAGTTTAGTTACCTTTATTATAAGCGAAGCACAACAACTAGTACCAAATTTGGCAAAGAGCAAACGTGAAAGACTCTGCAATTGTAGATACATCCTGTCAGCAAGCAATTGAGTAAATTTTCCTTTGCTATTAAGCATTAACCAAGTGCAGATACTTGGGTTTGCCCGGATTTCATCCATGGCTTCATCAGGGCAACTTTCTCTGGAGTTGTATTGCATTTATAAATGATTCAGAGAAACTTATAATCAAAAAGGAAAGAGGAATGCAGGAATTTGCTGGCAAAGCCAAAACATGGAATCAAAGCAAAGGAGAAACAGAGCTGTTAGCATGAAAGCCAACCCTAAATATTTCTCAAACTTGACCATTCTGTCCAACAAAACATGCTAGAATGCAAGTTAAACTGCAAAGGAAGATATCTAGTTGCAAAATTGAGATCTTTGGGTTTGTACTGACTTTGGATGTACAAGATCTTGTGAAGGGAATCTGTACAGGTACTCTGGGAAATTTATCACTGCCGAGCAAGCCGCTTGTTCTGTGTATTTCTCTTATCATCCTTACGGTCTTGTAACGTGCGGTTCATGGTCTGATGTGATTTTCGCCGTTTAGCTGATAGTCGAGGTCTCAACTGCACAGGATGTGAAATGTTAAAAAACCCTCCAAAGAAACTGAAACAAACGCAAGAGCACATGGTTCAGAGAACCATCCTGAACCCAAAACCACAGAATGTTCTATGCAAGAATAAGAGTGCTTTGATTCGAAGCCAAAGGCAAGTCCAAACCATGAAAGATAATGAATTAATAGCCAATATGCTAGAAGACAGTTATATAACAGATTACAGGAAAACTTGAAACTATAAAATCACATTTTACCCCACCCATCCAGTCTCTAGAAGCCTTGTTTCCCAGAAAATACTAAATACAGAGCCTTCAGATATATCCGAACCTAATGCTGAGAATGCAATCCAACTTGTTGCAGGAGTTCCCTTCTAATTTTCCTTCTTTGTGAAAAAGAATAAATTTTGCATTTCATACAGTTTTTATCATTTGCAGTGGCTTTTCATGTTAAAACACTTCTATTACTTCTTAAGATAGATATTCTACCAAACACCACCTTTTTCTTTTTTCAACAACTGATTATGCAGTTTCTTCAATACATCAATCAAATAGCATCTTTCTTAGTTTATTATTTTCTTTCATAATGTTCCTGAGTTTTATGGTTCATATTATGGAGTGATCAAGTTCAAAACACATAGGCTTCATTGAACCAGTTGGCCTCGTTTTGGAGGTTCTGTATCCCGCTTAGAGCATCCAATAAATCCCAATCACACACGTAATTGTTTTGGATGTATAAATGCCACGTGGTATACTAATAAGTCGTCTTGGCTATAACAAATTTGCTTCCTGGAGAAATGTATAACGTTAAATGTAGAATTAAGCTATTTTACACATAAGAGCACTATGGCTCAAACTCAGGACCTCTACCCCAACCCTACTCCACTATTACTACTTGAGCTAAGACCAAGTTGCAAACATGGCTCAAGGCTTCTTTAACCCTCCTTTCTCGCATTATTTTATATGCAAAAATAACGACAATAAATTGCAACCAGTAATTAATGAAGATAACTAAATAAGAGCATCAGCACATACCATCTCAATATACTTGAGTTGCTTCAAAACTTCATCTGTTTCCAGCTCCTGATGGAATAAATACAGCAAACAGTTCAATTAAAATAAAAATATGGTCATGCTCAAAACAATTATGATAGACTAAAATTGAATTTTTATATATTAGAAAAAAGAACTCAAATTTCTTGGGCTTCAAGCCTTTTTATTACTGACTAAAACCACAGACATCTCTATAATGACTAAAATAAATAAATAACTGGTATTTCTATAATGACTAAAACAAAAGAAAGTACATCCTGTAGTTACGGTACCTTGACCAGGGATACTAGCAGTGTGATAAGGGGGGAGGATGGAAGTGGGTGCAGACGATATGCTATAAAACCTTAGATTGGGGACAACTTGTTCTTCAGGCAAAACTACCATTTACATGACACTGTAAATTCTGTTTCAGACAGATTAATGGACTACAACCAAGATTCTTTCTAGCAATTGATGACACATGAATAGTAATCACTTTACTAAGTTTGAGTTTTAAGTCGACATCATGTAATTAAATAGGTACTTGCATAGTGACATAGTGACATAAATCTTGGACTACTTTTTCGGTTTGGAAAGAACCAATCAAAATTCTAGAATAATTACTGCTCCATGAAGACGTTCCCCATTAACACAAAATCACAAATTCTATGTTCAGGTACCATAACCTGAGGTTGCAATCAAAAAACAATGGCAAGGGATAGAATAAGTTTACTAAAAGGGTTATCACCTGAGGTACAGAACAATCAGCATGGGATGGATCCCATTGGACAGAGCAGAAGCACTCCCAGTCATCAGTTTGGACTTCAGAAAGAGGAGCCCTATAAGAGCCAGAACTAAAATTATGCATCTTGCATGAGCAATACCAAAACCAAAACTACACCAAGAAAGAAACTTGTAAATTTATGTGCATGTTAAGTTACTTGCATTTGGATATTAAAGCTCAATAGCTCATCTAAGTATGCTCAGTACTTAGTCTGAACTGAATTCCTACTGCTCTTGAAAACAGCATAATCATTTTTGTCCTCAATTATCATTATCTACAATATCTTAGGTGTACAGCATTGACCAATTTATAACTGATAAGAAACATGCTATGCTGAGTTTCCATCTCCTCAATTTTCAATTTTACCATGAGACAGTATTATCCACAAATCATTAGGCATCGGATAATGAAAAGGAGGGTGAAGTGAATTCCTCCTGCCCTTGAAAACGGCATAAACCTTTTCATCCTCCATTATGATTATCTACAATATCTTAGGTGTACAGCATTGATCAATTTATAGCTGATAAGAAACATGATATGCTGAATTTCCATCTCCTCAATTTTCAATTTTTACTATCGGACAGTATTATCCACAAATCATTAGGCATAGGATAATGAAAAGGAGGGTGAACTGAATTCCTCCTGCTCTTGAAAACAGCATAATCATTTTTGTCCTCAATTATCATTATCTACAATATCTTAGGTGTACAGCATTGACCAATTTATAGCTGATAAGAAACATGTTACACTGAATTTCCATCTCCTCAATTTTCAATTTTTACTATGAGACAGTATTATCTACAAATCGTTAGGCATAGGATAATGAAAAGGAGGGGGCTATGTGACAAGTAATCTGGTTTGGATTCTATTAGAGTTTATTCTTTGCAAGTTGAAAAGTTTTTATTGTTTGTTACTAGAGGATCAACTATATCGACATTTATCATAATATAACATGTTTACTTGAAGATACGATTCTATGAGTTCAACATTTAAGCTTTTAGACATAAAAGCTATTCCCTCCACAAAAATGCCAAGAGTTTTAGCAAATACCAACTTGTGCTAACATAAAAAACAAGCAAGAAAGTAAAATATCCACAGAAGTAGACTATACCTGCGCCACTTTCCACAGATGGTTCCATTACTACCTCCTATGCCTTCTATGAACTCTCTACATTGAAGCCAGTTCCCTATTGAGCTTACTTTAGATGACTTGTTGCAATTCAGTTCCTATGAAGAAAGATGTGTCAATTCTCCCCAAACGAAATGGTCACTTATCTGCAAATGCTAACCAACACAAAAATTTGAAGCCTTACATTGAAATCAGTAAATTCTAAAGGATCCCATTCCAGTGGTTCACCAATGGTATCAACATCGCTGCATCATATAACAAGAAACTATTTATGAATAAAAGATTTGTGGATCAAGAAGGCCTACATTGAACACAATTTATGACAGAGGAAGAAACTTGAAATCAAATATGAAAGAAAGCTAACAGCAAAGAAACAAAATCGAAAAATGGTCACCTACCAGTCAATCATTTGAGTAATTTGTAACTACATTACACTTTGCATAGGTGACTGATTGATGAATCAAAAAACAAATTGCAGAAAAATGGAAAAGCATAAAGAGGGGAGAAAGTTACATTAATTATAAAACACTCACAAAAGTTTTTGCCCCTACCCCAAAGATTCAGTCCTTTAAGTTATCCAACTTGGAATTTCTCATACTATGAATCAGAAGATTAATCAGAAAAACTGATTTTGAGGCAACTTTCAAGACCAAGGTGACAAGATTAATCAAAAACAAGGCCAAGAACATGACAAGATCCAGCAATAATAATTTTTATTTCACCCAAGATTTTGTTCCAAAAATTAGTTCTTGCCCTGAAATCAGAAGTGCTTATGATTTGGGAAAGACGGATAACTAGATTTCTCAATCAATATAAAAACGACACTACTGCTAGGTTATTTAAACAACGATGAAATGATAGAAGATTTAATTCACTTAAAGCATTCAAATTAAACCAATTGGCAGTATAACCAGAACATAAGACCACAACGAGCGTCCAACCAAACTAATGCTGGATGTAACACCATTTTACACTCCTTTTCACATGTACAGTCGATAAAGCAACTGATGAAAATAAGCGTAACATTGGGACCACTACAGCAGGGAAGCAAACAACTAGGACTCTAAAACCATACTAAAGCATCCAACACATAAACAATTGCAAAGTGTTGGAAAAGCCCAACCAAAATATAGAGCCACAATCAAACCCAAAACAAATTGACATCACATGTAACACACACTAACAGATCCCAGCCCATTCACACACAACACATCTCTTTTCTTCTTCAATTTCTCTTTCAAGATAACCTATTAATTTGGGTATCACTAACTAACTTAGTATTAATCATGCTTTGTCAATGAAAATCATATTCATTTTATCCCCAACGCTGCTTCTTTCATGCACCTCTATTCCAAGAGCTGACTTTCTCCTACTTCAAAGCATGCTTCCACTTTGGAACGAAACTAGCAACCTTAGTTCAATGCAAATATTACAACATTAAATGTATCCTCTGGTTCAAACTTCCTTCCATTTCCTATTTACACTAAAAAGAAAGTTAAAGAAAATCAAAGCGTAGTAATTAGTTCAAAATGAAAAGTTTAAACAACTTTTATAAAGGGGGAGGGGGGGGATATTTCGGATGGTTCAAAATAAAAATTTTCCTGCTTTCAAAGGAGTGATATACCAATTTGAAGTTTTTCTGAAGCCAACACCAGCCACTACACCCCCCCCCCCCCCCCCCCAACCCATTTTGCCACCAGGCTTAGACATGATCATAGCAACATACTGGTAGCTTTTCTAAATAGGGAAGGCGTAAACATTTTGCTATTGTAGTGCAGAAATCTTTACAACCATTCTGTAATTAGACTGGCAGCACAACAAGCCATCAAAGAAAGGTTTGGAAAGCCTATCAGGGTAATAGAAAGAAAAGATAAATAGCCTATTAGTTGGCACTGGGTTTCTTCCAGGTTGTTGCAATTAGCTCACTACCAAAGTCAAATTTTTACTGTTTTATTTTTCTTGGAAAAACTAATGTAGCTTCCCTGTATTTCATGTCCTTTGTCTAGGTCATGACGGAATCTATAGGACCTATTAGCATTTATAATCAATATATAACTATATAAAGTCAAAAGATAATTACATTTGTAATCAATATAACCTATTAGCATGCTTTCCTTTAAAATTCTTATCCATCCAAGCATAAAACAACAATTTGGACTGCCTTGTTTCCGACAGAATTTTGTCTTTCACAAAGGAAGCCTAATTAAAATAATTTGGGAACATAACAAAATAAATGGAACTTCAAGTAGAATGGAATGGTCATATCCATGTTTAGCTATGCACACAATAAGACAGCCTATAAACCTATGCATTCCATATAGACAATTATTTAAAATAAATAGCGTGAGAGCTAATTGAACATACTCATCAATTGGACCTGACCAGTCAGGAACGTCTGCTTGAAAACCCTTGCCAATTCGAACGCTAGTTCTATAAGGCTCAGCATCTCTCAACATTAATTCTATTGGACTGGATTCCCCTTCAGATGATACACCTCTGCATCTGCCCATGCCACCAGTGATACTTGAAGAATTTCTTGCAGTTGTATCCTTGACCATTATTCGCTTCTTTTTCATACAAGAAAAACAATACCACTCATCAACTGGTACTTTCTTTATCCTGGGATTGCAGCAACGTACATGAAATGCTTCTTCACAATTATCACAAATTAGCATCTTTTGTGCAGTTTCTGAACGACCACAAATTTTGCATAACCTAGAAGAACTGCTAGCACCACTAGTCCCAATTTCCTCATTGAGAGGAGCCCTAGAAGGCCCAACTTCCTCAACATTCCCCTGGTTCTGAAGTATAGAGAGGCACCTATCTTTTTCAGATAGATCTTCCCTCACAACTTCAGCAGCTATTACACTAGAGGAGCAGCACTCACCATTTTCATCCATCTCACCTTTAATAGAAGCTAATGCAAGTTCCATATTTGACTTCGATGATGAGCAACTATCATTTATACTGTCAACATCTATGGTTTTCTGCCTAACAGTTTTATGTACATCGTCAGAACCATGGTTGTCCACACTAGAAAATCCATTAGGAAATTCATACTTTGAAATGTGAGGCTCTCTACTGCAAGCAAGAGGCATCAAAGAATCTCCAGTGGCTACATTTCCATGTCCAACTTGAGAAACTCCATTTTGCTCCATGACTGCCATTGAAAGAGCATCAGAACTGACAACAGAAAGACAATCCCCACTTCTCTTTGAATTCACAGGGGCCTCTGCACAAAAATTGGCAACAGCTGCGCTAGCGCTGCTGCCGCTAACCCGCCGTTTTTTTCTCCTACTGTAAACAAAAGTAGGTACAGGACCTTCAGACATTACACTCACAGATGATTGTTGAGAACCAGTTCTTGGTAAGGGGGGGCATGAATACTCAGCCTCTTTACATCCACTCAGAGAAGGGACATCACATTTTGGAGAAATCTGCCTAGTTTCATATCCAGGCATCCAATCACATAAAGAATCTTGTTTCCTGTGTTCAGATACATAAAATAGGCTAGCTTCAATTGAACTAGAAATTGAAGTCTCTATCAGCATTTCACCTGATGTATCTCAATCAAAAAAATCTGGGTCTTTTCACTAGCACCCCTAAATTACTTCCATATAAACTCTCTTTTTGTTCCAATTCCAAACTGTGGGTTTCAGTGCATCAACCTCCCTGGACATCAAATATTTATTCTATTCAATTTCCAACAATATTTTTCAGAAACTATCTAATAAACGAAATTAATAAAATATACCCAATTGGCAGAAAAAGATATCATGAGAATTTGACATACCCTTTTGCAAGAAAACCAAAGAAATCATAAAAGTTATCTTCTTTCTCCTTCTCTAGCCTTGACCATCCTTTTCTTCCAAGAATTAAAGAAAGGGATGTTGGGGTTTTGCAACTTTTTTACAATAAAACAAAAGGCTGGAGAAAATTCAACGGTTCAAAACTGGAACAAATGTTGCAAATCGAAGCGTTTGAGGCAGAACCTGAAGAGGGGCAAGGGCTTTGGGTATTCTTGGTGCAAGGGTGACTGGTTGAACTGGTAGGCAGTGGGCTTAGAGGTTGCTTTTGTAACCAGTCCAACAAGTCTTTTGGCCCTTAAAAGTTCTGAATTTTGCAATTATTTTTCTTTGTATGTGTGAATTTTTGTACCTTAATTAGACTCAATTAAATCTTCTTGATATGTTTTCTTCAAAATAAAAATCTTCCAAATGTTTTACTACCTAACATTGGAATTTATCTAGAGAATATGTTAAATGGTCTGAATTTAAAAGTAAAGAAATACAAATAATAATATTATACATAATTAATACAAATTTAAATGTAATGAATGTCTAATGAATGAATTATTTCATTAAATTTTTATTTTCAAAGTTTTTAGTAATTAGATTGAATGTTCTCATTTTCATCCTAAAAGACATACTTATCGAATGAAAGAATGTTTCTTTTAGTGATATAGAATTTATGACAATCACTTTCTACATAAAAGAAAAGCTCACATTAATTGAGATTTATCTCAATCTTGATATTTCTCATAGAGACTTATCTTGATCCTCATATTTTTCATAAAGGGTCTTACTTCAATGAGGAGTTGGATAAACTTTAATACCATTTTACAAGCTCACATTTTTTACTCAAAAAACATGTTTGTTAAGTTAAAAAAGACTTCTACTTATAAACCCAACACCTATCTCTTCTCTTACTGATGAAATTCACAATAAAAGTTCATGACTAACTTAATTAAGTTTGTCAATGACACAAGTTTTGGGACTGAGGCACATTTTTTGTCCTCAACTTGCTTCTCATACCCATCCTAGTCCCTATATTGTATTGAGGAGAAAATTTCTCTCCGTTTTCACTTCTCAAGAGAAATTATCCGTTTATTTTTTTGAATTTAAAAAAGTTTAAATTTAAAGATTTAAATGTTGAGTTAAGTTATCATATTTAGTTAATATAATTAATTTAAAATTTTAAACTGAATTCATTAAAGTACACTCTTATAAAAATTTCGACAATTTCAAATAAAAGTTTAAATAATAATAAAGTAAAATTATCAAAAGTACAAAATACAAATACAACCAAAACAAATAAAAATCTAAACTTATAAAAGTTAAGCAAATAAAATTTATAAATTAGAACAATGTCAAGCCTTTAAATAATTAACTAAAACATATCTATGTTATGTGTAAAGCCATTGTCAAGTTTGATATTATCAATATAATGACACCAATTCAATTTACGAAATTATTTAAAAATTAAAATAAAATAATAATCAAAATATTATAAATTATAATTATATAAAAATATATTTAATATTTTGTCTCTATATATCCACATTGAAGTGAAGAATATATTCCACTTCGCTACTTTTGTCCTCTTTGGGGAATTCATTTTCTCCTGTCTTTGTTTTTATGCTTGTGCTTATTTTTCATTCTATGAACCAAATTTCATTCGGGTGGACAATTGGGTCCGCATCGAGGCTTAGTAAGATCGACATCCCTAACCTTGATGCGAAATGGGTCGTGTGCTGAGCACGTGCTACAGTACTGGGTCTAGCCTGGAAAAGCACGAGGCAAATAGACTATCCTAAGCCATCGAGACAGGAGGGCAAGGTCCAGGATGAGGCCATGCTCCATTTATTTTACTTTCTATCTCCTTTTTAAGGCAAAGAAGGGATTGAAGAAGTCATGTTCAATGGTTTTGTAGTGGCTTACCTACCAAATAACATTCAAAACCCAATCCTTACCTAAACAAAAACTTTTCTATTTGGGTCTCTTATTGCACCTTCTTTCGAGGTAAAAGTATTTGAAACTTTGATTTATTTTGGGTATAAAGTCTCGAGTCAGAAGAGTACATAAAGGTGATCCCATCCATTTCATGTGAAAATTGTAGACTTTGTGACAAATTTTAGCCATTTTCTTGTGATTGTTGAATAATATATACATAACTAAGACCTTTGATTTTCTTCATTGTAAAGCAACAACTCATGCCCTTAGCTTTCTTCCACTCCAAGGTCTTCTTTAGAGAATATGAAAAGTAATGCTTGTTATAGAATAATATTAAGAAAATTATTGTATATATTGAGGGTAAAGTTTTTAAATTTTACATATTGGGTTAGAAGATTGATGTATGTCTCATTAGAATACAATTATTAAAATTAATAAAATAATTAATTATTAAATGAAGATACGATAATCATTTAATTGTATTTGTGAAAACCGTCCGTGTATGAAATAATAATTTATTATATTATGAGGGTTCACTTGTTTCTTTGTTTTTATTCACAATCTCATTCCATCTAAAAACATTTGAAAATCCTCGATGGTGATCCTATAATAATATGATGATGTATATATGCTTACAAAATATTATTTGTTTTGACGCAATTAATCCTTTTAACATATGCTAAGGACATATATAGCATCTGATAAAATCCTAAATGAATAACATTTTTAACATAATATCATATAGAATTGCCATGGGTCGAGCCTACACGGCCTTTTTTTTACAAGCCAAGTTCAAGTCTAATTCGACTTGCCCACTTAATTATTATTTTATTAATATAATAATTGAATTAAATTGAATCAAATTAAATTCGAGTCTATTTAGAAACAAGTCAAGACCACAAACTTAAATAGATAACTCAACTCTTGGACACCTCTAGAATCAAAGTAATCGAAAATAAGGTGTGGCCATGTCCTCTTAATGTGACAAGAAGAGTCATACTCTTATCTTTATCTTTGTGACATTATTGTAGTCATTTCCATTCCTTTTTAATGTCTACCAACCAACCCATTAAAACCCTAGACAAGTACATAAACCGAGTTGTCCACCTTTTCCGCCATGCATTAAAATCTTTTTAACTAGAACCAACTTTGAGATGATGACCAAGTGGAGCAAATCATACATACGTGGAGGCAGGCTTGAGGCACAAACTCTAAAAGAGGACAATAGAATCAACTTTGGTCATTGAAAGACACTGCTGTCGGGACATTTCCATAACTACTCCAGTTGACATGAACAATGTAAAAGGAATCAATGCTTTGAAATGTTAAGCAGATGGTATTTCTTTTTCACCCTTTACATTTGTTTTATAACTATAGCTGTATGCATGCTTGCTTAGCCACCAAGTTCCAAGCACATTTTTACTTAGTCAATCTTCATATGATTATTGGGTTTGAACTCAATTTTATTTTCTCTATGTAAGAAGACAATTGGGTGTCATATTTGGACTGGGAATCATATCGGATTGTATTATATTTTAGGGAAAGCTATTCAACCTAACTTTACCCTTAATTTGGAAGATTCAATGACATACATTGCCTTTGGTTCTTTCTCTAATTTCTCATATGCTAATCTTCACACTCAATTCTCATGACTATTAATTATTGCATATTAACTTTCAAGTTCAATATTCAAGTCTTATCATATGTACAATTGATCTAATTTTATGTTGGAATTTATTTAGCATATATGTTGGTTTGTTTTGTTTGATTTATTTGATTACCTATTAAAATGGTTTATCTATTTGATCAAATGTTGCTTTCATTCTAGATTTACAGATGGATATATCATATGAGAGAAAATAAAAAAGAAACACTCATGGTGAGCGTTTTAGTGCATTGGAAAAGAATGATCTTAAAATTCCTACTTAATTTTATAATTTTACACAAGTCAGTCTACATGATCTAATTAATCATGTCTAATTTCCTTAATTACCAACCAAGATTGCTTTCAAGGTAATTTGGTATTGAATATATGAATGTAATAATTGATTGCGCTTACTTTTCAAAAAAAAAAAATAATTGATTGCGATTATCATTTTTAGTTATACTTGTAATTTCATCGGAATAATCATATGTATTAAGGAATTCGTCTATAGTGTCACTTTTTATTCTAAATTTACAAACGAATATGTCATGTGAGACAAATTGAAGAAGAAACACTTATGGTAGACTTTTAAGTGCATTGGATAAGAATAATTTTAAAATTTTGTTTTAATTTACAATTTTCCACAAAGCCATTGTTCTTGATCTAATCACATTTATTTTTCGATATTGACTAACCAAGATTCCCTTCGAGGTAATTTGGCATTAAACATTAACATAGTGATTGATTGCAATTGCTAGGTTTAATCGGACTTGTAATTTTATAAAAAAGTAGATCACGTATTAAAGAATTTTGTCTATTTTATCAAGTGTCGTTTTTGTTCTAAACTTACAACGAATATGCCATATGAGACAAAATAAAAAAGAAAGACTTAAAGTAGACTTTTTAGTACACTAAATGAAAAATCTTAAAATTCCTATTTAATTTACAATTTTAAAAAAAAAGTCATTGTGCTGATCTAATCACATCTAATTTCGTTATTGACTAACCAAGATTCCACTCAAGATAATTAGGAATTGAATATGAATGTACTAATTGATTGTGATTGTCACTTTTACTTGCACTCGTAATTACATAAAAAAAAATAACATATTAAACAATTTTATTTATATTTTATTAAGTGTTACTTTCGTTCTAGATTTACAGACGAATACATGAAAAGAATAATCTTAAAATTCTTATTTAATTTACACTTTTGCAACAAGTAATCGTTATTGATCTAATCACATCTAATTTCGTTATTGACTAACCAAGATTCCCCTCGAGTTAATTGGACATGGATTGGATATTGTAGACCTTCATCATCTAGATCTTGCATATGCCATTAATTAATTTAATCAACACCCTGGCCATGCAAATGCAATCTCTTTCCTCAAGGTATCATAATGATCGAGACTTGGAATAAGTCACCATAGTGGAAAATTCATAGTTACCCTTTAAATTGGCAGACATTCTGGTAAACAAACCTGTCTAGTTTTTTGACAAATATATGTGACGTGTTTGACATAGACAGATATGGAAGCCCCTCGAGGGTTTAACTTGTGAAGGCTCTCTAAGCCTTAGTTGAACAATTCAGAGAAGCTCCTGGCTTTATCAGGTGCAAGTAAAATCCGTATTGTGTTAATAAATGCAGTACATTGACTCTAAAGAGACACCCCCAACGATCAATGTTTAATACTCCATTCTAAAAGTTTCGAGTTCAACTCTTCGGATGAGTCTTCGGCTGAGTCAGATGAGAAACAATAACATCCCTTCATATATAATTTAATATCACATATATAAAAAATATTAAATGTAGTAAATTACCAATGGAATCCATTAAAAATAGCTAATTTAGAAATTTCGAGTTCAACTCTTCATATAAGTTGGGTGAGAAAAGATAACTACCTGTTTTATATATATAATCTAATGTCACATGTATCACAAAAGGTTAAATAATGGAATCCATTAAAGCTAGCCGAGATGCTAAAAGATTATGCCCTCGGTTAAGGGTTATTAAACATAATCTTGCTTCTTTTTGAAAAGTAGTAGTCAAATTTTGCTGTTTTTGATATCATAGTCTCAGGTCTTCACCAAATCATTAAGATTTAAGCTGTATCAGTTGGGGGGGACGGGGGGGACCAAGGGCTTTGAAATTTTGCTACCAACAAAACTGGCCTTCTTGACAAATGGATGTGAAACGCCATAGCCAAGTCGTTGGGAAGTGATGTTTTTCAAAGGAAAACGCGTTCTAACAAGCTGCTAAGTCCTAATCTGTACTTTTTTCCTTTCAATTGAATATCATCAGTCAAATATCAGTTTGTTTCTGATATTTTTTTTTTTGCACAACGTTAAAGAAATGCCATGCACATTCAAAGAGTCTACGTGTTAGGTAACCTGCCAAGAGTGATAACAGCCTTGAGAACATCTCTATATAAAGAAAAGGTTTGGCCACAGTTTGTTTTCCAAGCCAATCCACTACTTTTGATCTGATTCTAGTACTTCCCCATGGCTTCTTCTTCTTCTTCCAAGTTTCTTCTGACTTTGCTTCTCCTTGTTCTTGCCTTGGGGAGCAGCAATGCTCAACTTTCAACAAATTATTACTCCAAAACATGCCCCAATCTGTTTCCCACTGTGAAATTCACTGTTCACTCTGCTATAATGAAAGAGGCCCGGATGGGTGCCTCCCTGCTTCGATTGTTCTTCCATGACTGTTTTGTTAATGTAATTCTTCTTCTCCCCATTCTTCCAAACTGAAATATTTCCATAGTCCTAAATGTTACAGCTTTTACATAAACTAGACAAAAAGGTCAAATGCAAAGAACTGATAATAGTATTATATAGTTTATTGATGTCAAGTCTTATGTCTGAAGCTTTTTACCTGGAGTTTTTTTATTAGGAACATGGCTTTCTTTGTTTGACTTATGTCAAAAAGGACAGCAATAAACAGTGTCGTTTCCAAGGGAAACCGACCAAATTGACCATTTTGTTATTGGTCTAATGGCCTTGACTTTGCCATCCTTTTTTCCATGTAGGGATGTGATGGATCATTGCTACTCGACGACACATCTTCCTTCACCGGGGAGAAAAATGCTGCCCCAAATCGTAACTCTGCTCGAGGGTTCGATGTGGTTGACAACATCAAGTCTGCAGTTGAGGGTGTTTGCCCTGGTGTAGTTTCATGTGCTGATATCTTGGCTATTGCTGCTAGAGACTCTGTTGCCATTGTAAGTTCCTGGTTTTGATTATATTTTTTCAATAATCTAAGCAGATCTTAGTGATAGTTTCGATTAAGAAAGTTAAAATTGAGACAATCCCATTTGGTTTTGTAGCTCGGAGGCCCCAGCTGGGATGTGAAACTTGGAAGGAGAGATGCTAGGACTGCAAGCCAGGCTGCTGCCAACAACAGCATTCCTGCTCCAACTTCTAACTTGAACAGACTCATTTCTAGATTCAATGCTCTTGGACTTTCCACCAGGGACTTGGTTGCTTTATCTGGTTTGCTCCCTCTCTCCTCTCTGCCTTTCTAGAAAATCAATTTGAACTACTAGACAATTAGAGTTTATATTCAATACACCATCGTCTACGTTACACTGACTCTTCACATCATCCTAACATACCTGTATATTTCACCATTCATACGGGCATAATACTTTGATTCTCAAAATTAATGTAAGAAATTGTCAAAAACATAACATACTATTGTTATGTAACAGAGTATGTCTGTCACATTTATTTATCCCAAATGCTATTGTTAAATTCAGGTTCTCACACAATTGGACAAGCAAGGTGCACATCATTCAGGCCTAGGATATACAATGAGAGGAACATCGACAGCTCTTTTGCTCAAACGAGGCAGGGAAACTGCCCAAGAGCAACAGGTTCAGGGGACAACAACTTGGCACCCCTTGATATCCAGACTCCAACATCATTTGACAACAACTACTTCAAGAACCTCATCAACAGGAGAGGACTCCTCCACTCCGACCAACAGCTGTTCAATGGGGGATCCACGGATTCCCTCGTGCGGGGTTACAGCAACAACCCGAGCTCCTTCAGTTCTGACTTTGTCACTGGCATGATCAAGATGGGAGACATCAGTCCCCTCACTGGATCAAGGGGAGAGATCAGGAAGAACTGCAGAAGGGTGAATTAAGTGATGGGTTGATGTTTTTGTATTCGGAATAAGAAGTAAAAGTGGTGGAAATTTTGCTTCCTCAAAGCTTGTGGTATCAGTCAAGAATTAGGATTATGTGTTTGTTCATGTTTTCCAAGTTGTTCAATGTCTTAGTTGCTGAGACTTTTGTGATGAAGAAATGAGCTTGATTTATAATTCTAATTATTTTCAGTATTAGCATAAAAGAAAATGTCCCTTCTTGTGTTAGACCCTGTTTTCAACATTGTGATCATATGCAAGTGACAAGCAATTGAAAGCACAAACCATTACCAGCTACTAATTGACTCTGGCCATAGTTGGTTTCCCTTTTTTGTAATAACTAAATCGAAAAATAGATGATTCAAATTCGAAACTTTAAAAAAAAAAATTGACATATAATTGTCTATTTGGATCAAACATAATGGATCAAACCCAAGGCATCACATTTCCAAGTTTTGCCATTCTAGACTATAAGCAAATTGGAGAATTAGCTTGACAGCCCAAGCACAAGCTCCTACCCCATATTTGAGTGATTTATTCATGTCATATTTAGTATAGGATTTGAATTTCAATGACATTTTAATGCCATATTTTGTATAGGTTTTGTGTTGCTTGCAAACCATATAATAATACCACTCTTTCTGCCAAGCAACAAAGTTGGACTTTTAGGCAGTGGATGGGGCCTTGTAGACCTAATAAAATAAGCCCAATTTCAAGATATGAGGCCTTGTTAAGCATACCAACTTAGTAGACCATTAACACAAAAATTAAAATAAACAAATTGGGCATGGGTCAAATCTCCCACAGGGAATGGCATCTTTCTCTGGAGGAACAACAAAGAAAAATGAACATGGTAATGATAGAAAGAAAATATTAATTAGGTCATGTTGCTGACATTCAAATTTTGATATGTTTCATATTGAGAGTGATAGCACACTAGATTTTCTTCACAATTGCAAGGATTTAACACTTTCCTTGGTTGACTTAATCATGCTGATTATATATTCAAATTATCATCGGCAAATTGTTATTTATCAAGATATCGTGGCACGTGATCGAGATTAATTTTCTAATTAGCATGCTTGTCGTTGCGATTAACAAGTTAAGTAATGTCAGATGATACCATAAAAAAAATTGAATAATTGGGATTGATTCAAGACAAAAACGAAATCTTAAGAAATTCTAGAGGTCAGTATGGAATTAATTTATGTCTGAATGTTGAACTTTGGAACTGTGGAATCTTAAGTAAACTTAATTTATTGTAAGAACAACACCTGATATCTGAAAGAAGAAGTTTGTGGTTGGCAACAGTTAATCTAATCAGGAGTTGCCAGCCCAACATTAAAGCCATAGCAGTAAAAAAACTCTTATATATATATTCTTCAATTATTTCTGATCATAACAATAATAATTTTTTTCTGTAATAATCTAATCTTAGGAGTCTTCAAACATCATTCCCTAAGAGCATCTCATGTAACAGCTGTCTTCTGTCCTAAAATTGCCAAGATTCCCCTCTGATTACCTTACTCTACATATTTTATATATCTAGGGTAATTTTTAGGGTCTCTACACCAAAGAAAATCTCCCAATAATGTTTTTTATTTTCCTTTCTCTTTTTGGCTTCTGGAGATAGTGGGGAAAGGAGACATGCTTAAGAGGAGAGACATAGGTCAATTGGGGTAATTAAGGGCCTAGGATTCTGTTTTTCACCATCATCTTCATGTCGTCTTTGCTATCCATTGGTTGAGCTTTAGTTATAGATCAAAGTGGTAGAATCAATAGTATTCTAATTTGAATTTAATTTGAAATGATTCCAAATCAAAATAATTTAAATTCAAAAGAACCTGAATTTTAAATAATTTTATTCGAAAACTTTTAACAACAAAACTGTTTCGAATTTGAAATAATTCAATCTCTTATGATCCGAACCCAAAATGACCCCACTCGAACCCATCTTTTTGCCACCTTTAGCCATAAGCTCCTCCTACTTTCTTCAGCCTCCAATTCTTGACAAACCCTCTCATCAGCCTATAAACGTTTTGTTCTATTTCCAATGACTTCTGAAATTAATCCATTCAAGTCTATTCATTCATTCCAACCAAATTCCTAACTACATTGACTAGAAGCAAAACACTGAATGGTTTGACTGATTTGTGCTTATATTAGTGGTCACCCATATTTAATTTTGAGGGTAGAAAATCTGTCATATATAATGCTGGAATGAGCAAAGGTCACATCTGCCTCTAAAATTGCATTATCATCATCAACTATTAAATCCACTTTCATTTTCAAACAGTTTCTTAAACACATGATTGTTAATTTGTTCACATCCAACATATAAAATAAAGCAGTATATATAAGAGGCTGGAATATATAGAGATAATGATATAACACCAACCACTTCAAAATTCTTCAAAACTTGTTGCAGAGATATATGAGATAAGGTTATTTGATTTTATATTTTTATTTTGCTATATTACAATTGAAATTGTTAAGAAAATATAACTGGGTTTAGAAATATATATATATATATATATATATACAAGTGTAATCATAATTTGATTCAAATAAGCTCTTATGCTTTTATTGATTCTTATTGCAATTGAATCAAATTATGATTACTTTGGTATATATATACTTTGTTTTCTAATCAAAATAAGTTTTTATATTTTTATTTTGAGTTAAATAAAATCTTATAATTAATGATTAACTTAGTCAAATGCCCATTGTTATTCTATGCCATGCGTCACTAACATAGCATGTTAATATATCATAATTAATAATGATGTGTCATACAGATATATCATAATTAACAATGACATGATATACTAATTTGATATGATAATATAATCATGTAATATTTTTCACCCTTCACATCAACATCATATTAGTGTTATGCGGGTATAAAATGTCAAGTGGCATTTTGACTAATGACAATTAGTCAATCATTAATTACAAAAATTTATTTGATCTAAAATAAAATATAAAAACTTAATTGAACACAATAAAAGAATTTTAATTTTTTTTAAATAATTTAAAAACTTATTTGAATACTATACCAATTTTTTTAATAAATTCCTTTCAATTAACCTTTGCCTATACGAGAAGAAGCAAATTTCTATGATACCATTTAAGATCATGCAAACCCACACATTCTACTTTGGATTATGTAATTGTTGTTACTATGGCCTATTTTATCATTCATGCATATGTATACTCTACAGTCTATGGTCACACTAATTAATGAATCAAAATTTTTATTGCTGGCTCCTCTCTTTGTTTCATTGCAGTTCCCAACCTTGTTGAATTGAGACCACAGATTTTTGATCTTGGGAAGATAATGAGAAGGACAAGTAGAATATGCTTTTGATTTATCTTAAATTAATGAGGGACAATAAAAGGAATTGAAAGGGGGATGTATGTGGACAAGGTGATAGAGATGCCATCATTTCAAGCAACCGTGACATGAGACCAAATTCCAGCACATCTCTTTGGGATTCTTAGAGACTCAAAACAGTGGGAGATCTACATTATTCCATCAAATGTAACATACACAATATATACATACATATATATGTTTATATATATGCATGAATTTTATGTATATACTATTTAGATACCCATATATATATATTATGGTATACGTTTTATGCATATGTCCATTAATAAAGGTATACATAATCATTCGTATGTTTAAGTTGTAATAGTAAGATGGTATCGGGATACAAATCATAAATGTAGAAAGAGACGTATAATGGAGACAAAAGCAAAGTAGACAGAGAAGTATACGTACACGTAGCTGCTCATATGTCAGAAGAGACGTATAAATAGGACAAAAATAAAGTAGAAAGAAAAGTATATATACATGTATTTATACACAAAAAGGAAAGTATAAAGGAGAAAAGAAAAGAGATCGAATAGGAAATGGTGATGAATGGAATAAAGTTGCCCATAGCTTGCTTACTTAAACAATTCAATGTTCCTAAAACCCTCTTCCCACACGCCAAGGAAACCCAAGGTTGAGCAAAATAATCTTAGCTAGCTGGCAGCATCATTGGCTATCCAACAAATAACGTATATACATCAACCCCATGATACAGTGTAGCTTTGCTAAGTAGCAAGATTTGCTTCCTTTTCACTAAATGCCATCTGCCTTTCAATTTCTTGACAAGATTCAGTACAAGCATTATTCAAATTCTCTGAATTTTAGAGGATGAAACATATCTCTAATCATATCAGAGAGTTTGTAAATGTAAAATATTTGGTTTTTTCTTCGACTATATTTTCTAATGGTTTTTTCAGTTTCTTTGTTTCTTTGTATTAATTACGGCTCGATAGGCTATTCTCTTTATTGGTATAATACCTAAAAAAAATTTCTAAACTATTCAAAAAAATTTAAATAAAATTTTATTATTTATTACGTTTAATCTAGTTATCATACTTTTATTTTGGATCAAATAATTTTCTAATTAACTATTAACTAATTATCGTTAAAATGACAATTATTGTTTTATATCACATAGTGTTAATGCATCTTGCTGATATGTCATAATATATAGTGACATGATTACATGATCACTTGGTAGCTTCAGACTTTATATCAATGTTATGTAAGAATAAAATGACATATGTAATTAGTCAAAAAATATAATTTGATCTAAAATAAAAATATATAAACTTGATTGAACATAATAAAAAAAAGAGTTTATTTAAATTTTTTTAAACAATTCAAGGACTTTTAAAATATTATACACTCTTTATTCCCTAACAAAATTTCTATGCCTTTCAAAAAAGAAAAACCTCTGGATATTTTCCATATTTTACCCAATATTTAAATACGTACAACTTTGAGAAGTGCCTGCCGGTGTTGAACAAAATTCATGAGTGAGTTAATGGGGTTAGCATCCTAGATTCTTGCTAGGTCCCAATACTTTAGAGCTTGAAGAACTTCACATGTTGAAAATTTGCTATTTAATTAGTGTTGTCAAAGGGAAATTAATAAAACTTAATTACTAATTTCTTCTTTGGTAAATTAAATCTTTGAAATTTTCAGGTGGAAAATAAAAGACCACCAAGGAAGTTATACCTATGTCTATTAGACCCAAATAGCTATCATTCAATTAATTGTTATCACAAGGAAGGTACCTCAAGCAAAGCCTATAATATACTGAATAACATGAAAATAAAAGAGAAAGAAGAAGATTGAAAGAGGCCTAGACCTAAAAGAACTTCCTACAAACTAAGAAGATAGGCATGAAAGAGTTATGAGTGAGAAGAAGACAGAGTTTCTTTGCATGTTTTTCCACAAATCCACACACATTAAAAATAAAAATCCCTTAGAAGCTTCTAACCTACATTGGGATGATCACAACAATACCTTTTGTCTCGCCCCCTTCTCCCCCACCCACCCAACTTCATGTAACCTCAGATCCTTCAATGGCACAGAAAAGCATGTGCAGCACAGTCTGTCCTTCACATGCAATGAGTTCATACTTGTTCTTTCCTCAACACACACTCACACACAATGAAAAAATTCAACTAGACAAGTATATGCATTCTTGCTTCTCTTTGCCAATGCCACATAGTTTACTTTTAGGGTAGGGTTTGATATATCTTATAGTTTCACTAATATGTCTTTTTTCTTCACAAAAGAGTTATATAGTTAAAAGAGAAGCTTAACATAGTCTAAACATTTAATTTAATAGTAGATACAAGGTATTCTGTTATTCTAAGAATCGGATTCAAAATCCTTTTGTTTCAAAAAAAAAAAAAAACCAAAACCTAGAAAGAGAAGCTTGAAATGAGTAGTTGGTATTATAGACTTACTAGACATACATGTCACATATGGCAAAAAACAAAAAAAAAATAAAAATCTTGTGGCTATTGAATATTCTCCATTCCCCATATGGTAGTGGCCATATTATTCATTAAGCAAAACAGTAAAGAGAAGTGGAAAACAAGAAATTTTAATATATGATAAGAAACAATGTGGGAGAAAGAAACACATCAACCAACAATATAGGTAAAAGGCAATATGTGAACTTCAATTGTGGAGCAAGCTAGACAGTAATTGAGTGATCTAAATAAAACAAAGGCAATGAAAACAATAATATTCATCTCTTCCTCTTTTTATTTCATTTGCTTCATAATAGAGAAAAATATATGGGGGGATATATTTGATTCATCCTAGGAATATTTTATCCAAAGTACGAAACATTTTCATTTGAAATGGTGCTATAGTCTGCAGCACTGGTAGGTTGGTTGTACATGGAAGAAGAGGAGGATGTAGGAAGAAGAGGAGGAGGCGGTGGTGGAGGCGGTGGCTGTGTTGGGGCTGATGGTAGTGTAGCAACTGAAACAGCCCCAGAAGAGAGCAAGGTTACGTGAGAAGATGGTATAAGGTTAGCTTCTCCACACTTGTATTTTAGTATCTCAGCCCTTACTGCATTTAGTTCTGCTTGTAAAGATTGAACTTGCTGCTGCAAAGCTGAAATTGCACCCATGCACCCGTAAACAGGATCTCTTAGCCTCACATTAGCCTCATAAACAAGACTATTCACTGCGTCGGCTCTTTGGCTCTCCGGTACCTCCTGAATTACAACATCAAAGGCATCATCAGAACAAAACCAAGAAGAGAAAAACAAGACTAACATATAACTAAAGAATAGGGTTAATTACCATTAGCATCTTTGAGACATTGCTAGCACCAAACACTTTGTGAACAGAAGCAAACTTTTGGGGTTCATGGGGTGAGAAATATGGAGAAAAAGGGCATTCTTGTGCACACCTACGCCTCAAGAGTTTGCAGGCTGCACAAGGTGTGATGGTATTTAGGGTTCCAAGAGGACCCAGCATGTGTCTTCTTCCCATGTGATGAGAAGAAACATCTACTTCTCTCGTGATCTTCTTTCCTACCTCATCAAATCTCTCCCTAGATATATATTGCACCAAGATATCAAAAAGAAGAAAGAACAAAAAAAAAAAACAATGAATAAGTAAAGAATCTCTTGTTATAAGAGGCATATATAGGGCTCTAAATGTATATATTCAATAGAGCCTTATTAGATTGAGAAGTAAAGAAAGAAAATGATCCTTCCAACACAATACAAGGAAAAAGTTTAGTATATATTTAGACTTCATAGGAATTAAAGGGCAATAGGTCTAACCCCTAATAATGATTATAGAGATTCAAGATTTCTACTTCTTACCTTTCTCTGGACATTCAGGCATGCTCTCAAGTATGGGGAACAATTTTCCTCAAGCTGAGAGAGAGAGAGATCAAAGAGATAAAGGAAGAGAGGAAGTGAAGAGAAGACGAGGAAGGAAGGAAGGAAGAAAAAAAAAAGAAAAATCAGAGAAGGGGAAAAGAGTGCTTAAAAGGCAAGATATACAGAGGAAAGGTGTGGTCCACTGTTTATAGAATGGGAGTAGACAAAAAGGCTATAATCAGTTGAGAATAGGAAACAGCAAAGGCTTAACTTATGTATTGGGTTTAGGTTTTATGATGTTTTGGGGTCCTGATCTTCCTTGTTAAAGTTGATGTACGAGGATTCCTGGAATTTAAAATTTGATGACACGAAAAGGAGTACCAGTACCCTGAGAGAGAGAGAAAAAGAGAGAGAGGGAGAGCTTCAATGGGAGCTCAGGGGTGAGAGAAAGAGAGAGTGAGAGGAATTCAAGAACTCCTGTTATTTTGTAGTTCAGAATGCCAGCTCTATCACTGCTTGCCCACGTGCGAGCCTTAAATGTGTTGACTTTCAAATTGGCTTTGCCACATGTGGTCTTTGCTTCTTCATCAGGAGATAAGACCCCAAATCTAGTCCCCTTTATGGACTAACTAAAACCTTCTTTTAATTGTCATCACTATAATACCTACAACATCACAGAATTATGATTTATAAATGACCCATAAAGATTAACGTTTAACACTTTCAATTAGGAAATTAAGTTTGTATATCAAAAAAAGAAGATGGGATTTATAGAATTTGAAAAAAATCTCATATTTTTTTCCATCAAACGATCATATCATATCATTACATGTATATTTTATTATTATTATTATTATTATTATTATTATTATTATTATTGTTATTATTCAAAAACATTGTTTGCATGTTTCTGTTAAGAATGAAGCTAAAAGAAGCTATCAAAGGTTAGGTATATGCAGTCGAAATTGTATTTGATGATCATTGAAATGTGCTTTCTAAAGGGCAGGCATGTTAGTTTCTTGTCAAAATCAAGAACCCATCTCCCATTAAAGGGCCATATCTGGGATCTAGTTCCGAAAATGAAATTTTAAGTATTATCAGAATTTGCCGTGTACTACCCGCAATTTGTTGTTTCAAGATGGCCTTAACACCCTTATTTTGCAGACCCCTGATGACAATGAGTGGAGCCCCTCATGTTGAAAGTTGTTTTATAATTTAATACATGCACCTAAGCTAAGCTAAAAGCATATCAAACATGCACATGAAGGGTCTTGTACATTCCCCTAAATTATTTAAACATCACAGCTTTTGTTGACTAGAGAACTTTATATACATAGGTGAAAAGGCAAGCGAAGATTGTTGGGAGGCAAATATGTATATGATTAACCTAAGTATAGAGTTATACAACCTTAATGTGTGTTGAATTTTATCAAAACAATGGGTGTTTTGTCCCTTGGTGGATGGTCTAAAGGTTAAGAGGAAGTCCTAGCTTTGAATTTTGTAATGAAAGAGTGTGGTTTTGAAATAAGAGAGGATTATTTTTATTTCGTAATGTAATTCGTATAGATTTTCACATACAAAAAAATATAAATATTTAGAGTTTAGACAGACGAGTTAAAATTCTCATTATATCAATAGAATTCGAAGGAGTCAAGACCTGATTACTCTCCCTATTTTTCTTATAGTCTTCTCCTATGAAGAATTAGGTGCAATGCATAGATAGACTTCTTCCTTCCAGTTCTTAGGGTCAGGGTCATTCATTGCCTAACAAAATGGTATTAATCACTTTTTATGCTGCTTGTGAGAGCTTATTACTCCTCAAAATCACACTGCCCTGTCATTGATGTTCACAGAAAGAGATTGGTTACCCTCAAGATTATCTTTTCTAGATAGCAAAACAATGTTTCATGAGGAGATTGATCACATGCTCATGATCATATATAGAAAGACAGCCCACCTACATTTTTCACAAATGGAAAGCATTACAATTCAAGAATTTTAACCCTTTTTGTTAAAGCTCAATACTATATATAATTTAAGTGGATTGTAATATTTCGATCTTATATCTAAATATAACCAATTGATTTTACATTGAAAGTTTTATTATAACCTTTTCGCAATAAGCCAGGTGCTTTGACATGTCATATGAACCACAAACCAAATTGAAAATTAGTTCATTTCTCCATAGAGAATTAGAGAGAGTGTGGGGTTTTGCCTATCTGTAATTCTGAGAAATGTTATATCAAAGTGGGTGGTGAAAGGGAGTGAGGGGGGAGAGGTAAGGAAGAGAGAAAAGGGTATATTTGGACAGGATTAAACTAGGGATAAATTTGCTTAAGTTTTAAGGAAAATGGCACCATCCATTCTTGTTTGACCCGCATTTTAAGGCTTACTAATCGCCCCGTTGTCCTCTCATCCCCAACCTAACTCTGTCTCTCTCTATCTCTCTCTCTCTCTCCATCCCTGGAACTCAAACCCTACAATTCACCCACTTTCACTATTTACTCATGCAGATCAAGGACCTTGATCTTCTCTAAAGCCTAAATAAACTCTAAAAAAAACACAATTCATAGTCTTAATTAGGATATATCCCAAGCTTGACCTGCCACTTTTTTTTTTCAACTTATAGTACACCAAACCAACATTCGTTATCAAATCTCTATATAGGTCAAAACGCATGCATGCTATAATACTATATAGATATCTGAAAAGTTAAAAGATACAGGAACTTGAGACCTAACTGTTATTGTCACACATACAAAGCTCTTTGAAAATCTTTTGGCCTAATTAATAAGTCAAATATGGGTTGTAAAGCAGAGATGATGACTTTCTTTCTAGCTACATTAAACCTGATTTGGGTTTTTCTTTCTTTCATTTCTTTTCCATTTGTGGATATTGTTTGTCCAGGTACTATTGCAGGATGGAATCCAATTTTGGCCACCATAGCTCAGGTTGTTGCCTTGGTTGGGACTATAAGTTTCTAAAGTTTGTGCACCATGCATGCTTCTATCTACTAATAAAAGAATGCACTTGATGAACAATTAACTAGCTTGATTCATCAACTTTCACCCTACCCCAAGTATTTTTCTTAAAATCATCAAGTTTCCGACCTATCCAGGGTTAAAGACTTGTAACACCATTATATACTTCGATCCATTGCACATACATATATATATATATATATATATATATATACAGGTTTTTTTGTTTAAAGTAGTTTTCTTGAAATAAAAGGCTGCATCAAAAGTTCCAGCACATTTTCTGTGATAGTTATAAAAGTCCTGGATATTGACTGTCAATTTGTCAAACCAAAATAAGGGCCAGGGGCAGGGCAACTGTTAGTGCCATGGCCATTTCAATTTCATTGAAGTTGTTGGACATCAATTCTTATTCAACTTTTTTGACAAACCCTTCTTTTTTCTATGTTGGATTTTTTTTTTTTTGGTTTTGATAGCTAAAGATGCATGAAAAATTAAAACTCTTAAAAAGGTGTTGGAAAGTTTGAATGATTTGTGTTGGCTAGAATTAGTAATGATGGGTAGTCTTAATAGTCTCCCTTCTAAAAGGAGAAAGAAAAACCAGATAAGAAACTCAAAAAATAGAATACTTGTTTTACAATTAAGACTGGTTAATTAATTGAAGGAAAAATATTTGATGTACTGGTCATATATAGCTTTTATATACTAGTAAGCTATCAAATCCTAATACCTTATTAATGAGGTATCATTTTAATAGAAATAAAAAGTTGATATTAAAACTTTATGTCGTTTTTGAAACCTTGTCAATTTTTTATTTTCTTCAAAATAATTCATTATTTATAAAGTATCAAAATTTAGTGATCTAACCGTGTGTAGAAACTATTTACTGTTATTGCATCAAATATTAATGTTTGACGGAACGGATGGATGAGTTCAATAAAAACATTTAAAGATGATGATGATGTAGTAGCAAGCCAAGAAGCAGTTATCCTAATAAAAGATATAACTGCATTAAAGGCAAGTCATGAAGATCATGCTTCCTCACAATTTTAATGCCTTTGCCCTACAAGATACCATTTAATTCATATAATTATCATAGCACGAACATATAATAGCAATCACATGCATAAAAGTGCACACGCACACACACATAGATAACCTTCTCTGATAGTTTCTATGACTAAGGAGAATTACATGGGATTAATAGGTTTCTATATATAACTTCCTTTTTTGATAGTTTCTATGACTAAGGAGAATTACATGGGATTAATAGGTTTCTATATATAACTTACTTACCCAGTGAATTGACAAAAAATAGAACCGATTACTATAAACGAGGGAGTCTATCTTATATCCAAATGAATTAGTCTAAATATGATTCGAAGATTCATTATTTTATACATCGGTTACAGAACATTTAGACTTTACAATTAGGGTTATTACAGTGTTTTATAAATATATTTTACTGGACCTTGTGTTAACCCTCTAACCTCACTTAATTGCTAATATATAAGATAAAATACTCTCACTCTCTTAACTTTTAATCATAATTCTATATTGGTCTATTAATTTTTGAAATAAACAGTCTATTTCAAATATTTAAATGACAGTTAATGGTTAAATATGAAATATCAAAATTACCCTTTTTCTTTCTCCCCTCTTTTTCATTAGTTTCTTTTTTTTTTTTTATTTTAGGATAGCCGATGATGCTCCCCTTACGCTGCTTGGCCAACCCCCATGCTCTCGATAACTTTCTTTGATTACCATGATCACTCACATAAATATTTTAACATGGGGGAGCCAACAACATTTACTTCTCCTACCATTGTACTATCTGTCACCCCAATTTTCCGTTTTACGTTTGCAACTAAATAGCATAGCCCATCATAAAGAGGCTGGGGTGGGGGGGATGAGAGGATGACAATAACCAAACATGGGACCTCAATTAATGATGAGCCCACGAGGCACATATTTACTGTTGTCCTTCTGAATGACCCTTTTCTTTCTCTTTTGTGGGCCGAATTTGGATTTGCAAAGCATTTAAGAACGAGAGAGAGAGGTCAGAGGCTTTACTGTTGATGGAAGACAGGACGGCTTCCTTCTTTTCTCTATTCGAATCACAGCCTATACATGTACTATGCCATCCAACTCATTGGGGCTTGTGTTGTGGTCGAACCTGGCAAAGCATTCCTTTCACATTTTTGTGTCGTAAAATAAAATTTATAATATATAAATTCGGCCAACGGATGTTTATAAATATTTTATATTTAATATACTATTTAAGTGGTTATAAGTATTTTTCAATATTTATAATAGAGCCCGATTAATGGGTTCTTATAGACATTTTTCAAGATTAGTTAAATTGTTATTTTAAGAAATGGGTTTTTCATTTAATGTATTTTCTTTTTACCAAATTCAGTAAGAGACAATAAATTACTTACAAAATTCTTAGGACAAAAATTCATATTGAAATT